ATATAATATAATATAATATAATATAATATAAGTCTCTTCCCAATACAAGTGGTGACCACGCGTTTCCCGACAGACGTTCTGCTCGGACAAGATTCTCCCCATACACGGCCCACGGGCACGTTACAGTAGCAGGACAGACACAAAAAGAGAAACTGTGAGTTTTCACCTCTTTTTTGGTTATTCCTATCCCTTCCCTCTTAAATACTCTTCCCGAAGAGGGAGGCCAACTGATTTTCAGCACTCAGAGCAAGCAGAGTTCCCAGATCCTAGAACCAACCTTGTCCTACACAATTTTGATCAGATCCCAGATTTCCCAGATCCCAGAACCAACCTTGCCCTACACAATTTTGATCAGGCTGCAAAGCAAGCGCCTACTTGCTCCTCAACAGTTTGTTTTAGGAAGAAGGAGCCCACCCAAAATACCCCAGCGCAGCCTGCACTGCGCATTTCAAACCAGGCAGCACAAGACGGGCGCATCAACTAGACTTCAGAACGGCAAGTCACTCGAAAACGACCCTCGTGGTCCTTGCAAAGCCCCCTGGTTCGAAGCCTCAAGTTCAGGCTGCGAAAGCCTCCCTTTACCACTTCGGAAATAACAGCAACCATTATCTTTTATGCAGCCCCTTTCACCTGCCCGACGCAAAACCCACGTGTAGCCCACGTCCAAATGATTAAAACTCCCCAGGCACGGCCAAAAAGAACCTTCAATCGCATCAACAGCACGAAATAAACTTCATTTAGAAGGATAAATCCAAGCAGCAAAGCTCATGAAGGGCTGGATGTGTATAAACCCTGCCAAAGCAGAACCATTGTCCCTGGGCTCACACAAACCAGCTGCTGGATGGTTCCCACCCACCTCAAGCAAGGATTATTTATCCCAGAACAAGTCTTTATGACCTAACCTTGCCTTTACCACCCAAAATTATTTCTAGCCACAAGAAAAACCAAACCAAACCTTATTACCAAGCCTGACCTGGAGCGAACCGACCTGAACGCCCCTGTGAGCCTCCCAGCAGTCAGCAGAAAGCTCAGAAGAGTCACAAAAGTGCTGCTTTCACTACAAAAGCAACACGACGTACCCGGTTCTCTCCTGGAAGGTCCATTTGGGTTTTCAGACATTTTTTCACTTCAGCGACCCGGTCTGAAGCTGTTAATTCTCGTGGCCTCAAGGATGGGCTCCTCAGGGCGTCGGAAAGGAGCGAAGCAACACCAGAGGAAAGGGAGAGACTCGGCGTCTCTCCTCAAGTCAACCCTCCCAAGGACAAGCCGTCGGGGTTCCAGCTCTCTTGTTTTTGACGCCGCGGCGGGCTCACGGGATGCAGTCCCACTCTCTCACGTTACACCAGAGACAGAGAGTTGCCTGTCCTGGGTATTTAAAGTTGTGTCCAAACGGTGTCATCTATCCCTGAGAAATCAGGGGGGAGAAGTTTCTAAACTGCCTGGGAACACAAGGTGTCTATTCAACAGAAATAGAATGAGAAAGTTTCTTCTGGAAACTCCAGAAGAACAAAAGAACTCCGACACGGAACGAAATCAGATTCAGAGATGAGATTGAAAACCGCCCAGAGCCACACAACAAGATCTTCAGCACAGATACAAAGCGACGGCAATTTCAGTGTCAAGCACCGAAACCAGGATCTGGGAAAGCGAGCTCACTTCTCTCTTCGTTTCCCCCAAAGCCCTGCGGTGTTTGGAAAAAACCCAACAAAATAAACCCCCCCTCCATAAACCAACCAGCCACAAAGGATCGTTTTGGGCAAAGCTGAGCACAACTATGTTCACGTGACAGATTAGCGACCTCCTTTAGAGCACTGTCACCTCCGAGGGAGGCAGTAAGTGGGTCTAAGAACTAAACCTGAACCTTCAGAAATCCTAATTCATCCTCATGAACGGGGATGATTTTTTCTTTCGCGTCAAGAAATGCAGCTTTGGGGTTTAATAGCGTTCCTGGCTCTCCGTGTGAAAATGATCTGGAAATAAAGTGGTAAAACGTTAAGAATTCTTAGTCATAACGCTAAAAAAGCCTGTTTTCGGTGGGAAAACAGCCTGAAATAAAAATCAGCGAGGCTTTCAACAGCCTGAATGACCCAAAGGCCTCAAAACATCAACGTTGTTCTGGTAAACAACGTGATTCTGATAAAATCAAGGAGTTACACAGCAATGAGCTGCTCTCTTTCCTGCCTTGGAGCGCTCTAGTAGAATTCTAAGTATGCTGCAATTTAACAGCGGACCTCAAGCTCAATCATTTTGTTACCTAAAAGTGAAATAAAGTCTCAGAAGCGCAGTCTGAGTCTTCCCAGCTGAGTCTAGTCTAGTCTTCTTAGTCCAGAGAACTTCTTCCTGCCTGGTTGCCAGCCAACAACAAAAATTGCACACAGAAGGATCTGGAAAGAATCCTAGACCTGCCTGCCTGGTTTCTGAAGTTGAATCCGTAAAGCACTGCGAGAGACAAAGAAACGAGGCACAGGACAAAGCAGAAGGTGCCCAGCAAAGAATCAGGGGTGAAGCATCTTTGCATCCTACAGCTCGTTCCTGCAAACGGCCGGGGGGGACCATCGGAGCGGAGATTTCCAAGCAAAGGGAGGGCTGGGATTCAAGCCCCGCTCCTCCAGTTTGGAACTAACCCCCCGCAAGTCGTTCTGCTCCTCCCCAGATACTCACTTCTTTTGATCTCTTCCAACTTCTCCATGTATTTTGTTAAACTGTTGCCTGTAACAAAACAAACCAAACAAATCAGTTGGTCACAATTTCTTAACTAGTGGTTTTCTTCAGCTCTGTGAAGACTTAGACTTTATTTTTCTTTTTTTGGAAGGAAAAAGTTCAGACAATGATCGCAAATATTTGCTGGGGATCCTCCTTCACCGTGACCATACGAGGCAGACAAAAATGAAAAAGGCCACGTTCCTCTTCGTGCTTTTCTCCCACAGGGAAGGCCGAGCTAAACAGCCAAGTCCAGCCAAAGGACTTGCTGAACCCCGGCTGCCAACCGCCTCTGGGAACGTAGGGTACAGCCTCCCTGCCGGGTAGAGGACGACACCGCGAGCCTTTGCACCGAGCGGGAGCTCAAATCTTCTACATACACCCCCCCAGCGCCGTTTTGGTTCCTCTACAGAACACACCAGGGTTTTATTTTACAGGATTTTCAGTAAGGGGCTCCACCCCTTGCTGGTCAGAAGGGTGGTATTCCAAAAAAAACCCAGCCTCGTAGCATCCTTCCCGTTTACAAGTTCCACACCAAGGCCTCTCCGCTCAAAAGCTTCAGTTGTTTGGACGATGCTTTGGAGAACAAAGTCATCGCCTTCAGAAAGCCACTACCTAAACCTCAGTACCTCACAGCCCTCTCTGCAAGGGAGCTAAAACCAGGACTTCCCTACTCAAATCCTGCCTCTGACCCGCTGCTTCAAGCACAACGGTGGCCACACTGCCCCTTCCCCAGCAGTCTTGGGTGGATACTATGGGCAGGTTGAATGAAATTCAACCGCTTTAACAACACAAAACCCCCAAAGACACCCCCCAAATGATTATCTTGGCTTACACCCTTGTCAAGACGCTCGTTTCCACCAGAAAAGCTCACACACAGGAACTCCAAGAGCAGTAATTTCTACGGGAACTGTCACAACGCAGCCTGACGCCCTAAGGTGAAACATCACGGCCGCGATGCGAGTCCTGCCACGGCTGCGCAGCTACAGCAGCTCAGGACAGAGGCAGTTAAGACATTCGGCAGATTTCTTTGTACACCCCTATGCCCACGTTTGGTGTTTAAAAGAACAAATTACTTCACTTACCAGTGTCCAGGCGGGTTTTTATGTGTTGGTATCTGGGATTCTGAGGGATGCGCCTGCTCAAATACTGTTTTCAAGAGGAAAAGACAAGAGGAAGTCGATACACAGCCGTGTATTCGTTTTAAAGGCAAAAATCACATCACCAAAAAAGGGAATTGGAAGAGCTCGAAGAGACGGCAGGAGGAGGAGCGAGACCACAGGCATCCTCTCGGGCATCCTCTGCTCTGAGGCAGAAGGACAGATCCCTGAATCCCCAGCTCGGTATTAAATCCATGCCAAAGCGCCGCTTTAAAGCCCCCAAAAGGCAAATTTCTCTCCCTTTCTCTCACCGGGAGCACCCCAGGCTGCGGGGCCCCCAGGAACCCTTCCCCCCCGGCCCCGAGCTACGCCTCCGGAGGCCGCACCGGCCC